GCGGATGTATTTGCCATACTGGACTGCAACTAGGATCCCAAAGAAGACCTAAGACAATAACCTTTGTAGCCACCTGCAGTCAACAAATGAGCCACGATAAAAATAACTCTCCAACGGGTTCATTCCCTTTTAGGATCAATGTCATGGATTCGTAACGTAAAAGGTAAACGAAACCTGGACTAAGATTTGGAGAGCTGATTCTTTATCGTGTAGGTTTTTGAACAAAACTGAGAAATAAACTACTCATAAGTTACAATAGACAAGGTTTGTACAATATAGTCAATTTTTTCATCAAAATTACAGTTTGATGATAATTTCTAAAAGTAAAGATATTTATTGAAGAAAATATATATATATTTAATGGAGAATTTATGCCAAGATGCTTATTTGTAAGACTTATGAGAAGCATAAGTACATGCTAAATATGTGTTAAAATTTGTGCAGTTGCAAGATTCAAAGTACAGCAATAATCATAGAAAATTTTATAGTGTAAATTATTAAACCAGTAACTGTTTAAGAATCTAAAAGAAACAGGGAAACAAAGCTGAACCCTGAAAGTGGGAACAGAGAAAAACGATGTCTAGACAACCTAGAACCTTCTGCTTCAGTTCCAGGTTAAAGTGCTTCATGACCTAATATTGTTTTATTATTAATTTGAATCCGTGTCAAACACTTTGTGGTCTTAATCCAGTTTAATCCAGCAAGTATCAAGAGTCACATTGGAAGGACTTTTCTGCCATCTGGAGGTCAGAGTGTGAACTACGCCCGGTGGTGATTTTGTTCAGTTGGTGATATTACGGTATTAGATTTTAAATGCTGGATGTTTTTTTCTGTAACCTGAGTTACAAGTTAAACTCAAAGTGTCTGCATTGTTACAGTTACATCTGCACATCTTTTGAGGCTTTTGTTTTACTAACTTTGCTTTAGAAATAGATGTTTGTTTTTTTGTTTTTTTACACATTCTTTGCAAAACAGCTCAAAATGAGTCAGAATGGATAGAGAATCTGTAGCCATAGATTTCCATTTGGTTTCGATCTGGGCTTTGACTAGGACACTTTGGCTCAGTATTCTAATATCTGAACTGAATCTGTGGTTGTATGTTTGGGGTCTTTGTCCTGGTGGAAGGACACCCCTCTGCTATAATCACACAAATGTTTAAACCTCCATCAGGCTTCATTCATGGATTGTCTTGTATGTAGCCCCCAGCATGATACTCCCTCCACCGTGTTTCATCATCGGGATGGTTTGTTCAGGATCGCGTTCGGTTCTGGTCTCATGAGCAGAGCAACTTCTTCCACATGTTTGCTCAGCATGGCTCATGGAAAACCGAAAATAGGAACTAATTATTGATTTTGGTTTGCCAGTCAATTTCTGTTCCATCAATAGACGGTCAAATTTATGGGGGAAAAAAAAGTGTTACCCGACTCTCCCGATGTCTCTGTTTGAATTGTGCTTGCAATCTGCAAAAAAACTAAACTGAAACTGGAGAAGTTACTGTAAAGACGCACAGTAATAGCTTTTCGTGCCTAAACAGACCAGCTGCAGAAGCTGTCTCTGCTATTACTTTCCTCCAGAAACTCCTGATTATTGGCCCGACCACCAATCTGTTGACTTTCATTGTTTCTGAATCCTCAGCTTTTCCCCCTGTCTCTCTTTCTCTCTGCTCTCCTCTTGACTCGGGCCGAGTGAAGTAAGCCTGGTTCTACTCGCCAACAGCCTGGTTCTGCAAGTCCAACCCAGCACTAATAGGGGGCTCTGTGGAGAGATGTTGTTTTCACAGACCATGCCAAGAAAAGGGGCCCCTCCCACTCTCATCTGCATCCGTGGCGACGCTTGAGTCTCTGATTGGCTGATTTAAAAACAAATCTGGTTACTATCTTAATATTATTAATAATGATGATAATAAAGATGATGACAATAGTAATTACTATTATTGTAAGGTATAATAAATAATAAAGCAAAATGTATTCATAATTATAACAAGTATTATTATTAATACACATTGCCTTAGTATTTATTATGAATATTAATGATATAAAATTATCATTATTATTATTATTAAAGCATCAATTTTTTACAATTGCTATATCAGCAGCAAAAATTTAAAGCTTTTTTTTATTGTTAGTCTTAAGCTTATCCGTCCGTCTGTCTGTCCTTCCATTCATCCATCCAAAAAGGTTTCCCATAATATGGAGCTAAGGCGTAAATTCAAGCTGGGAGACAGAACACAGCTGATCTACATCACAGCTGATCCTCTTCAATCACGTCACACCCTGCTGCAGCCAATCAGGATCGGCGCCCTTGCGCGTCCCAGCCAATCAACGTCAAGCCGGTCCATTCAAGAAGACGAGCTTCCGGGGATCTGCCTGCTCGTCAGCTGTGCTTCGCCCACCTCCTCCCCATCTCCACCTTCAGCCCGATGACCATTCTCCAGGCGCCCTACGCGCTCCTCCATCCAAGGCTCCGCTCCATCACCAGTATTCGGACCGGGGGGGTAAGACTAGTGAGCTTCGCCGGACTCAGCATCTTCCCCCCGGCGATCTACGCTCACTAGTCTTCCGCCGGTTCGAGCGCCAAAGATTTGTTCATTAAAATCCTCTAACTGCTTATTTTCTCTGTGTGAGTTGATCCAGATTGAAATCAGATTCACTAATGTTGTGGCTAGACAGAGTTCTTCTTCTTGCCCAGGTCTTTTAACACATCTGCATAGGAAGGTCTTTATAATACTATTTGTTTAGCTTCCATAAAGGTCAGATTTGTGGAGCACTAATGCTTGTCAACAGATTCTCTAAGTTTAGTCGTAGCTTTTCTGGAGTTACCATGTGCCTCTCTGCTGCGGCGCTGGTTCATGTTTTCTTGCCGTGTCTCGGTAGGTTTGCAGTTGTGCCATATTTAGTTGCTGCACTTTGGTTTGGTCAAAGCAAGAGTTTTTTGTTTTTTTTTTACAACACAGCCCTGTGTTAAACTTCCTTAGTCTCCCTGCTGTGTCAGAAGGTCTTTATAATACTATTTGTTTAGTTATGAAACCTCCGAAGTTCACACAGACATGCATTGATAACAACATTAATCTGCACTATTAACTGTTGCTAATTAAAAAATTGCTATGCATTTTATTTGTGGACATTCATTAAAACAGGACAAATGTACTTTTCAGATTTTATGCTGTAAAAAATTTTCAAAACCCATATGTTGATTTCCTTGCTAGAACACCGAGAAGGTTTTCTACATCCATGTACAAAATCAAATGATAAAGCAACTTTAAAGTTGAGGCAGAACAATCTTAGCTCATTTTAAAAATTAGTGTGATAGGATTATGTTTCACAAGGTACAGAAAGTTGCAGAGGAGCTAATTACAGGGTAATGAACACTTTGTTGTCTTGGTCTTGATTAAATTAAAGTGTAAAACATCATTCTGCTTCTTTTCAAGCATGTAAATTTGGTTAAAAAAATGCTGCTATGATATAGAATTATATTTACAGTCAAATAGTCAAATAACACTTTGTTAGTACTCCATATAAAATCCATTGAAATCGGCGCTGATGATGTGACAAAATGTACAGAAGCTCCAGAGTACAAATATCCGAGCAAGACGTTTCTGCATGACATGCATTCTGCACTCTTTACAGCTCCAAAAAGTATTTACCCGCTTCCCAATTTCCAATTTTTCCCTTTTACACAATTAATGAAAATTAATGAAAACATTCATCTGTCATCCATCGACTGCTTAATTTTTTATTTTCAGTTCAATTTTCAATATTTTCAATTTTCAATAGTTCAATATATTAGAACTCTAATATTATATATTTCATTGGCTTACCATTTGATTTTGATCGACAACAAATACCAAAACTGTCTTGATGGTTTCAGAGACATCTTTTTGTAAGAGGTCTGGTTTGACACCAGTGCTTTGGGCCCTGGTGTGAAACTTTCTTCCACATTGCGCCATTGCTGTAGAGGGGAAAAAAAAAAAAAGCTCCTGAAAAGAGCAAGAGGAAGTACGCTCCTCCTCATCCTCCTCCTACTGTAGGGCCCAATTCTGTCCTGTAATTTGCCCTCAGACATCTGTAAGCATTTGCCTCAGACCACAGAAGGAAAATAGAAAGCTAGAAGCCCTGGGCTGTGATTTGGATGGATATAAATAAAAGAAAAGCTGCTAATGTGAAGGGCGTCAGAAGGAGCGCAACGCTGGAATCACAAGAGTGGCACAAGAAAAACCTGGTGGAATCTTGGAGATTTAGCGTGGAGGTGGCCACTGGACTTCAAATCAGCTGAGTGGGAATGTTTCAGGAAGACATGAACGTTACATGTTAACATATACATGTGTTGCATCACATAAGCAGGATTAAAGAGACAAATGAACAAATACAGATCATTAGTTAAAGTGGAATTTTTGGATTTCCATGAACTGGACCTCAAAACTGTAAATGTTCGTCATTGAATTTGAAACCTGCAGTTTTGGACTCTATTTGTTTTTCTTTGTTTAATGAATATAACAGTAAACTGTGGGACTGAAACTTTAACTTAAGCACGTCCAGCGTCTCTAACCAGTCAGGAAGCAACAACTAGAGCCAAGACCGTCTTTTCTGAAATGTCTTGGACCACTCAGTCTGAGTGGTCGTTCGTTAAACTCAGTACAGAACCAGCAGACTTGGACCGCGTCCCGTTCCGCTGCGGGCCTCCACATTCGGCCCTCTGTAGCGGTCATCCTGGGCAGCTCCGCCTCTCATCCGAAGGGCACATTCGACACGGTTCCCAGAACTGGATGTTTTGTGTGTACGTGTAAAAATGCTAGTGGGCCAAACACTCAGTTGGGAGCAAGACCCACCCCGGAGTACGGGCCACGGAAACCCAAAATGATCGCTTTAAAGCTGGATGTGGGTGCAGCGGAAGGAACCGCAGGAGCCAGCCGAAGGAACACCTCTCGGCACCTGTTCCCATTGGCTGCATGGAAATCTCAACATGGAAACTTAAATAAATCTCTTTTTGGTCTCTCTGTGATGTACTGTGCTAACATACAGTCTGATTGATTTATTTCATAGATTGAACACAATAAGGCAATACAACAGAAAACCTTCAAAGCATCAAACAACAACAAAAAAAAAACATAAAATGATGAAAAGAGATGTATAAAATAATGTGAGAAATGCTAGAAGATGAAAATGAATTCATTGTCCGTTGTAAACTTTGGCTCCACGTTTGTTTGTTATTTCAGTTCTCAATCTCAATCTATCCTGACCAAAGACAGTTCCAACCACCGATCAAATTGTACTTCACATAAATACAATAAATACCAAAAATAAAGCAGAGAAGCTGGATTTTGTGACTGGCCATAAATTAGCCTTTTAAAAAAAAACCTTAGGATTTCTAGGGTTTCTAAGGATTTCTGATGTAGTTTTAACATAGTTACATGGACATTGTCTAGCTGAGAAGACATTGACAAACGTATGAAATGTAGACAATATCTTCTGACATAGCTCCATGTTCCACATCCATGCACATTTTCAGTTAGTCATTTTAGATCTCAACCACACGCAAACAATTTTTCTCCTAAAACAAGATGTTGTCGAAAATACTTAGGTTCACGCAGGACCGTTTTCAGAAATGTTTCCTTCCTAAAAGAGGATAGCCTCATTTTTGACTCCTCCTCCCCTGTAGGTGGCGATAAACATGCACTGTGGGACATGTGCGTAAAGCTGCCGTAACAGAACAAACGCAAGTCTTTTGTGGAATATGTAATCTTTCATTGTTGCATTTGATACGTTTGAGGTTATAGGTCAGGCTAGATTGTAGGCTAGCATGTTGGAGATTTTTTTTTTTTTAAAAAGTGTTTTTGTTGTCCAAATACACAAGAGTGAATTTTTTACTTTGGAAAATGTAAAAAAAACAAACAAAAACAAAATGTTTAGGATGCCCAAAACACCATCTGCGTGTAAACATAGAGCAAAAGTTGTTCAAAACGTTTCTCTTTTAGCAAAAAAAACTGTTTTGTGTGGATGGGATGTTAACCTGTTGAAACTAGCTAAAATGCTGTTTTTGTGACTAGCTTTTTCACCAAACTCGTTGTGATATCACATCTTTTACCACAAGTACTTATAATAATTTTAAATTACTTTACTTCAAAAAATGCAAACTGTCCCTGTGATGTTTTTTTTTCTTTCCTTCATTTTGTCTTTGAGGCCATTTCAGCCTTTGGCTCACACACATAAAACATCTGCATGCTCTACATTATGTTGCCATTTTTTCCTTTTCGTACTAGCAACAGCTCAGATGTAAGTCACATTCATGGCACTGTTTCAAAAAATACTGCTTAAATCCGCCTTGACATTTTTGAATTTATCTAATTTTTGGCAGAGAGACGCTAATACTGCTAAAATAAGTTATCAGTGTTACAGTTAACTCGAATTGTAAGTAGAAGTTTTAACACATCTGCATAGGACAAGTCGAAAACAAACATTTAGACGCTGACTAATTCTAACGTCTGTCATCGTCTTCTGAATCCAATCAGAAATTTTTTTTCTCCTCCATCTACCAGCTGAACAGCTTGAGGAAGTTTTGGAAACCATCCTCTCCCAGGAAATCGAAGGAACCCTGAGAGGAGCCAAGGTGGACAAGCAGGAGGACGATCAGGACAATGGCCAGCAGAGGGATCAGCAGGTTCCAGCCGGCGGCCAGGATGTTGTACCATTTGGCCTTGTCTGAGCACTCCTGAGCCAGCTGCAGGTTCCCGAGAGTCTTCTGGTCCCGGGCCTGAAAAAAACACAAACATATCAGATTTAGTGCCCTGCAAATACTCCTTAAGATATATATTTTAATTCACACTTTGCCACAAACATGTTTGGGATGTGTTGAGGTTTTATATGACAGACCAACACAAAGTTATGCATTTCTGTGAAGTGGAACAGAATATATTTTTCACCTAAAAATCTGAAAACGGTGATGTACAGCCTCCGTGGACTGAGACCTTGTAGACGGTCTTTGGCTTGGATAATAGTCCAGTGTGGACTTTGGGCTGAATTTCCTCTGATCTGAACTATTCCATTACAGCCCTTTCTGTATGTTTATGTGGCTGTCCTGTGGGAAGGTGAGCCTTCTCCCCAGTCTCCTCTCTTTTGTAGCCTCTTACATGTTTTCTTCCAGGATTGCCACATGTTTATCTTTATCCATCTCCCCACCTTCTCAGTCTGTGCTGAAGAAAAAGCATCTCCACAGCAAGCTGCATCCACCACCATGTCTCAAGGGGAAGATGATGCGTTCAGGGTCTTGTGCTGTGTTCACTTTTTGCCCCAACAGGTTTAATCTAGATTCCAACTGACTTGAGAATCTTTCTGCCACCTGACCTTTGGATCTCTGCACCTTCTCAAGAGCCACCATGGACCTTAACGGTATGTTCCACACCTGATAGTCTGGCAGACTCAGTGCGATTGGAGTCCAAAAATGCAACATTTGTTACAGTTTCAGCTGGAGTGATTCACTTTCACATTGCAGTGTGTAAAAAGAGAGAGAAAAAAAAACCCTAGAAAAACTTGTTCACCTTCTTGCCTGTGGTGGCGCTGCACTAAGAACTACTGAAAGAAACGACACAAAAACCTCAGAAGAAGACACTGAACACAACTTCCTTCTTCATAAATTGTAAACAAAAATTAGGTAGCATCGAATTTTAGAACTTGTAAAGTTCTAATTTTTTTTTTTTTTTTTGTCTAAAAAAAGACAATTTTGGCTTTGGCAAAAGACCGTGATCCATTTCTCCTGCTAGCGCTAGACTGAAGCATTTGTTTCTGTTGTTTTTACCCAGAATGCTCTTGTTATAGAGTGTTTTCTGCTTTTGGAGCGGTCTCCAGTCTGCTTGGCGTTCACATATGCATTTGAAGTTCACTTTAGCCGAACCCAGACCTGGGTCTGGAGGTGGACCAGAGTTAGCTTGTTTTGGTCGGTATCAGCATTCGATTGCGCGTTCACACCTCTCCAAACAAACCGGACCTTCTGGTTAACAAACGAGTATTCAACTAAAGAGAACAAAGCAAGGCTGTTTCTCCGATTAACGCCTACCAGATTCAGCAAACAGCTATGTTTTGGTAATTTTCTAGTTATTCACACTCTTGTATTTTTCTTTCTACTAAGGTTTTCCTCCATAATGGATGGATTTATGGATGGCCCAACCAATAGCTGTTTTGTCTTTAAATTCTTCCACCTGAGCTGTGGATCTCTACAGCTCCTAAGAGGTTGGGGCACTATTTTACAACTTACATCTTCACAACTCTATGCCTGATCAGTCTTGTGTGTCATTAACGTTCTCTAACAAATTCTGATCCCTTCACAGAACAGATGTTATTTAGAGTAAAGGGAGATGAATATGAACATCCAAAGTGAATTTTTAGGATTTTTATTTCTAAAGAAAAGTGTTTGAATTTGACATTTTCCTTCCAGTTGACAATTATGCACTACTTTGAGTTGCTTAATTATATGGTATGTAGTTATAATTGGACAAAATGGGGGGAAAAATAAGCAAAGAGTCATGTGACCTTTGTGTCTCCTCAAGGACTCATCAGAGCGCAGTGTTACTGAACCTCTCCACCAGGACTCTCTAATTTCTTTACAGTACTTGCCCATTAAGAAGATGCCAATTATGCCATTTTTAACTCCCCACTTTGTGAGATACTGTCTTTAATTCTTGTCCTGAGCCAATCACAAGCCTGGGGTTCAAAAATATGCAGTCAGAGAGGGGGGGAGGGAGTGAAGTGACATGTGATTTACACACCCTTCTGTAGTAAACTTAAAAAAAAAAAATCCAGGTACAGAACAGGTTTTTTGTTGGTAAAACATCTGCCTGTCTCTATTCCTGTGGCTTAAGGCATTCCAGGTTTCTGGACAAGGACATTCTAGATGCTTTGCGGTTAAATGTGTTTTTTTTGCATTGAGTGTGATTCAAAAGAGTACAAAATACAACAACTCTGGGAGTCTTAATATATTTATAGACATTTTAAATGGTTATTGGTCTCAAGTCGACATTTGCACAAACAAAATGGTTCTTGAGGTTGACTAACGGAGGACGGCCTCCTGGTCTGCTGGCCTGGATTATTTTTATCTGGCTCTATTTCCCAGTGTGGCATTTGGAATATAATGCCTACTAACGTATCCGACTGTCTTTCTAATATGGCCAACTACAAGAAATTGGAGAAGGAATGTTGAATTGTTCTCATCAAATGTCACCGATTACCAAACTGCCTTCTTCCAAGAACTTATCTTCTCCATTTTGCGTTTTCTCTCATCTCCAGCTGTTGATAATTGTCAGGGTTTTTTTTATTATTAGTTAAAGGTAATTTAGACCGAAAGTCAAAGCCACTTAGTGCAAGTTTTCAAAGCTAAACTTAACTTCATTACATCAAACTGTTCTGGGTGTTGAATTGTTTTTTTGTTTTTTGTTTTTACTCTGGGTGCCATTTTAAGCTTCGTCTCATTTGAACGCCTCTTCGAAACGGTTCAAATTTCAAGTGAATTCAAGCAAAAAGGACCCGAGCTCACCTTGATGGAGTAGATGAGTGCCATGAAGCCAAGGCAGCAGAAGTTGACATAAAAGGTGTTGCAGAGCGACCAGAGCAGGTAGTCCCGGGGAGGGTTCTTCCCTGCATTGCCCATGTTCACCACGGTGGAACCCGCCGGCTTGCGGGCTGACTTGCAGTTTGTGAGTGGGGTGCAGTCGGATGGAAAGTTGTAGGAATGATTATCCATGCTGAAGACCTTTGGTTGCGACCGAACGGTTGACTTAGAGGATGGCGAGTCTCTTTCTCTCTCTGTTTGGAAGTGGTCCCCCCCACCACCACCCGGTCTGGGAGGCTTTTAAGGGCCCAAGAAAAGGGAGGCGGCTGTGAGAAGACGCATGGGCAGGGTCCTTTAATACACAGCAGGTCTGTCATTATGTGGCTGGGCCAAAAGGAGACTGAAATAGAGACAGAAAGACGAAAGAGGACGGAACTTTATACGAGACCAGTGCAGTCCTCCATTAGATGGTCCCTAATTTCATTTTTCTTGAAGGTCTTTTTTCCCAGCTGCTGTGTGTAGGAACGGGGTGGTGTAAGAAAAAAGAAAAGATGCAAGATCGTTTGTAAGCCTGAAGCTGAAGCTGAAAATAGCTTTAAAAAAGGAAAATACAGCTGCAACCAGATAGCCATGTTCCCCAAATTCTTACTGGTGTGACAGTGAGTTTAGATGCGGGGGCAGAGGTCAAAATCTTGATTTTGTAGCTGTCAAAAATCTAGCCAAAGGTCATCTTATAGAGTCAACATGTTTGTTTTAAAATCATCCTTTCAGTTAATTGATTTCAGCGCCTCTTTCTTCATAATGTGAGCGATGTTGACGCTGCTCTGATCTGAATGCAGGGAATCCTTTTTCTAAAACAGTCTAGCTAATGGAAAGAGTCAAGAAACTTTCCAAACAGGTCAAATTAAGTTTGTAGATGTGTAATGCTTGCACATATATATATATATATTTTTTCATAAGGTAAAAATGTTTGCCAGAAAAAAGGAAAAAGAACTGAAATAAGTTGTTAAAATTGATAGCTAAACCAAAGGTCACAGGCTAATATTTCCTAAAAACAAGATAAAGAATTTCCAGATAACAAATAACAACAAATTAAATGTCACATGCTATGTTAAAAAAATTAAACTCCACAGACATTCAGCATTAATAACCAGATTGTTCACTGTTTATGGTAGAGCAATATAATTGAGTATAGATAACCAACAAAGCATGGAGAAGCAGCATTCACCTTCTATGCACCACAAATCTGGAACAAACTTCCATAAAACTTCAAAGATGCTGAAACACTGAGTTTCTTTACATCAGAGCTACCCCCCCCCCATGTTGCCTTTGATTCATAGTAACTGGAACATTGACCGACATATTTGATGTGGAGTCATGATTCTGATGATGGCATTTGATAAAATGTAATGTTTTTATGGTGCAAAGCACTTTGAATTGCCTTCTTGTCAAAATATGCAAATGAACAAATAAACAAATGTACCTGCTGGTTAAAGGTTGTTCCTCTTTAAATATCTGGAATGAAATGGATTGTTTAATACATTTTGATCAAGAAGTTCATAAGAGGAGGGAATTATAGGCTGCTCAGCTTAAATGATCTCTAATGGTTTGATATGGAAATAGAAACTGAAAACTACAATTCAAATGGATCAAAAATGATGAAAAGACTCAAACAATTAGCAACCTATGGAAACACATGTTGCTTTTGTTTTTCTTAAGCCTGATTATTCCTAAATCAGAAATTCAGCTATTTGGGTTTGGTCTAGTTTGACGTTAGGATGCATTTACAAATGATTTTTTTTTTTTTGTCCAGGCTAAAAGAATGCTGTTGCTTTAAAAATGGGGTTCAGGCCTCACCGGCTGGTGGCTTACTGGGTAGTCAACTGGAATCAAGAGGGAAGAAGTAAAACATGTCATTGTGCTACGAATTGACACAAGGAGAGAATAAACGTGTTTAAATGTTCAGGTTAGCTCTGTTTGCTTCAGAACTTGTTACTGCACAACACTATTTTTTTTTTGTCAAAGAGAAGATTTGGCCTTTAAAGTTTTTTTTTTTCAATAAGGGAATGAAGGCCCTTAACGAAAGGGCTTTCATTAAGGGCATTTTCTATAAGTTAAAGTATCCCCGTCCTTTGTAAAGTCAGCAGGACTCGGTTGGCCAGCAGGGGGAGCCATGCCCCCGTTTCTCTTTCTGTCTTTGTAACGTTATCCAGATAAACTCTTCCTTCGGAACGTTGTTCCACTTCTTCTTTTGTGACTGATTTTTATTTTCAAGCAGTAAAGTAATAATGAAACATACAATCCGTTTAAATGATGATCAATTCCCAGGCTCTGTAGGAGAATGTTTTAGTTGGTGGCAATTTATCGATCTGTATCAGCTGGTTGCATGGTTAAAAAGGCAACCTACATATGCTATCATAGGTCATTTGCTTTCTTTTAGAGGAAAAATGTAAAAATAATAATAAATGAAAAATAAAATAAAGCCTAGCAGAGGATGGTTTCGATCCATCGACCTCTGGGTTATGGGCCCAGCACGCTTCCGCTGCGCCACTCTGCTCTTGCAATAGCAGGACCGCCTTAACTACACATGACTCTCTATCACGAAGTGCGCAGATGATATCTTTGCGTTTGTGGAAATGCTCAACGCATAAAGTACATCCAAGAAGTTACTTTACACGATATTCCACGGACATGCTCTCCAGGAGGTTTCACGCTGCTCACCCACTCTTGACAACGAGAGCAAAGGACACTTGACGTGGCCCATCATTAAATTATACAGAAGTGCAACGTTGTGTGCGTGCGTATTATGTAATAATAATAACAATAATAATAAGAAAAAAAAACATCAGTATCGACCGACTGTGCAGTCTTTATTTCATGACATGAGCCAACTTAGTAAATTTCTGTCTCAACATTTAGGGAACAAATCTGTTTAAGCTGAGGTCATGCATTCTGAAATGAGAACAAACGAAAACTTGAAAGATACAAAAAATCACATAGAGTGAAAGTCTGCACAGACATATGTGAACCCAGATATCAGTTCTACGCTCTGTGTCAACAGTCTTATGAAGTAAATTAAATTTAAGTCATTCAAACTGCAAATTATACCAGCTAAATGTTCATGATTATCCCATGCAATTTAATTCAGACAAGAAGCCAAGTTTTATCAATGCACTCACTTAAAATGTATTGGCTACTATGTCAAATTTACCACCAAACGTTAACAACACAGGAGACCAAAATATTTTTTTTTCTGAAACTGCACAGAACAAGTCAAATAGGTGTCATAAGAATTCTGTCTGAGGCACAAGCAGAGAGCTAACATCAAACTGAACCTAATAAAGCCACACTGAGTCGAAGCCCGGCTGGCAGCTCGGGAGCTGACGGTCCATCATCCTGGGTAAGAAAGTGCTGTCAGACACAGGTCACAAATGCGACGACCGTTTTGTCACATTTTGTTTTGAGATCACTTTAGATTTCTTGACCACAAGACATGCAGAGGACAGAGTGCTGTTAGCTTGGGAATCAACATGTCAAAACTTTCTGGTGCAGAGTTTTAACAATCAGAAAAAATAACTAGGCCCACACAAAGAGACACATTTAGCATGGCCTATAAACATGTCAGGGTTCTCTCAGGTGGCTCTGTGGAGGAGAATGCTCTCTTCACTGTCACTATCAGAGATTGCAGCTCCTGAATTCTCCTCAATAACCTGGAGGTGGAAGGAACCCTCAGGCTAATGAGAAATTGTTGCTGTTGAAAAAACTTTGAGACAGGTTTGGAGTGTGCATCTGCCTATCAAGCAAGAGATGGCAGTTTTTTTTTCTTTGTTCTTTTTTGTTTTATAACATTAAACTAAGATTTCTCTCTCTGTCTCTCTCTCTCTCTCTCTCTCTCTCTCTTTATATATATATATATATATATATATATATATATATATATATATATATATATATATATATATATATATATAGACAGACAGACAGACAGACAGACAGACAGATAGATAGACAGATAGATAGACAGATAGATAGATAGATAGATAGATAGATAGATAGATAGATAGATAGATAGATAGATAGATAGATAGATAGATAGATAGATAGATAGATAGATAGATAGATAGATAGATAGATAGATAGATAGATAGATAGATAGATAGATAGTAGATAGATAGATAGATAGATAGATAGATAGATAGATAGATAGATAGATAGATAGATAGATAGATAGATAGATAGATAGATAGATAGATAGATAGATAGATAGATAGATAGATAGATAGATAGATAAATAAACCAGAATGGAAAAGAAATATCCTTTTTGTCCATCAATGTGGAAATTCAGATCTGCCAGCTGCAAAGCCATATGCAACAATGTAGGAAGCTGTGTGATTCACACAGGTAAAATATAGTATCGAAAGTAAGAAATGGAGACTGTACAGTCAGGACAGATCTAGAACATCAGTAAAAAATGTTGTAGTTATTAAAAATAGCATGCTCAGGTTCAAAGAAGCAGGTAACTGGATAATATTATTTTTCTAGATTCCTTGTGTTCAAGGTGATAATTGCTTCATAAAATGACACGTAACAAAACGAAAGTGAGGGAAAAATACAAAAACAGGGAAAAATAGAAACACCCTTTTCAAATAACAATAGAAAAATCATTATTAGTATTTATAATTGCCTGCTTTTTGCTTGTTTCTGCTGATATTTTCACTATTTATGTTTGATGATGCGCACCAAGTATTAGTAGTTGGAAACACTCTCTTCCAGCACCGTAATATTTTGCTTCGTCTGCAGATTCTCCATGTCTCCAGCGAAAGATGTGCACTTTGAGCTTTGACACTACATGTAGGTTCTTTATTTTTTTAACATGTAAGGATTAATGTGCTTTTTTGTATGTGTAGGGGCGTTTCCATGTTTGGTAGTAGTGTTATAATATGCCATATTGTCAGTCAAGCCTTTGTGCTCGGGCAAATGTTCCATTAGTGAAGTGGATAATTATCTAGTAGCACCATAATCATTACTTGTGGGAAATAGAAGCAATTACTGGGTGAATTTTCTGAGGAGGTTTTATGTTTGACAAAAGGCATTCTCTGCTACAACTGGCCTCTTTTTTCAGATTCTGTCACTGAATAAAGCTAGCAACGTTGCTACATTTGACTTTTCAGCTGATGTGATTTCATTCAATAAATTTGCTTTTTCAGGCAAACCCCCTCCTCTCCCAAAAACCAAGAGCTTATGGATTTTAAGAGCTTCCAAGCCCCCACCTTTTGCAAACTAAACAG